TGCATACTTGGGCTGCATTCCAAATTTCATATTTTTATTTTGGTATGTACTGCAGCTGGTGTCAAAGGGGACGTACTGCTTCTTGAAGCATGCGTCATAATATGGGGCCTGAAACTTCGACCGTCGCAGGCTGTAGCGCGAAATGAGCTGTCGGTTTGTCTGCGCGCGCTTGGCAGCTCGAGCTTGTTTATACTCGCACGATAACCATGATGCATGTGACGTAACTGCACAGCGGATTGCGGGTCAGAGTGACCGGAAAAGCATGATGGCTTGCACTCTGCAAAATCGGACTGGATGCAGTGAGACATCCCACACACTATGCATTGGGACAAACTAAATCTTTTCCTTTCTGGCGTACCATATAGCACGGACGTATGGATATTGGAACACAGCCGTCGTCTTGTTGGGTTTATTTGGCTACATTTTCGATATTTAATTCCTGCTGCCAACTCCTCTTTTGCATGTCAAGCGCTGGCAGCTTGACAACATAATTTGTGACTATATTCAAGCGATGTACATGTACTTTCTTTTTTGTAGATCTTGGCTCAGAAGGCATAGCTGTGCTTCAAAGAATGAATTGCAAGCATTCAGTCTATTCCTTCTACTAAAAAAAATTCCAAATAAATGTCCATTCTGTTTAATCTTTCATCAAAAATAATTACCATAGTGCACTAGCAAAACCGCGATCCAGACACTAGATTTATGTAGCATTATTGGCTGCTTAGTTTGCTGGTTTGTCTGCGACTGGGAGGATTTAATTGATGATTGTCTGGCTGAGTGACTGTACTTCTAATTCTCTTAGCACAGTCAAACAGAGGGGCACTCATCTTGTTCTTGAGTTTTGTGCTAATGAACACCCTTGCATCCGCCGCCCCGTCCGCCCACACCTCCCTTCAACACATCACTGTTTATGTCTTTCTGTCCCCTCTTAATAGTTTGAGGAAGCTGTTCTAATTCCATCAGCAGCCACTCACTCTGATGATTAGTGCCAGTCCACTGGTGGCCTGGAGGTTGCACAGTTGTTTGTTGACGCCGCTCAGAAGTAGCGCCTCAGCTGCGGCGTCCGACTCAACAGACAGAAGATGTGAAAAAGCCGCCTCGGTGGTTGGCCGAGTGTGATTGTACACATGGACAGCAGGTGACTGTTGATTATTAAAATTGCATACTCGGCTGTGGGGGAAAAAAAAATAAAAAAAATCGAGTAACATGCGGCAACAGTGGCAGCAACACAATGAGTCCTGTTTATCAAGCAAAAATACAAGACCTTCTAATAATAAGCAGACATGGCCTCATTTCTCGGTGAAATGGCTGATGTTATCATTTGTGTCAAATATCCACCCAACAAGACTGCTCAGGAAATAGAATTTCAACAAGGGTGAAAATACTTCAGATTTGTGCCTGGTGATGGACTTCCAGCTGATACAGTAAATATTCCTAGATTGGCCTAAGGATCAAATTTGCTTCTCTCCAGTGTCTGTTTTTTTATTTTTGGTTTCCAGTCAGAGAAAAACAGGGTCAACAAATATTTATGTCGGGTTACTTCATTCTTTTTTTCAACTAAAGCAAACCGTATACTTCACTATTCTGGAAAATATCTACAAGATTTAACACAGAGGAACAAAAACACGCAGATGGAAGAAGAATATGTTAATAATGTCCCTATAGACGTTTTATTTAAGTAACCCTGAAGCAAGATGATGAGACACAAGAACTCAGAAGAGCTCGAAAACAGCAGCAAATGGTAAATAAAGCAAGAAACAAGGACAAATAAATACACGGCGAGCTAATATTTCTTTGGATTTAAGTCACATTCTGGGTGTGTTGCTTTGTGTTTTTTTGTTGGTGCTTGTTTCCCATCTTATCCACAGCCAGTTTAGAAGATCAATACCAAAATAAGACATACAGTATGATTTTGCTAGGTTGCTTTCTATTGATTCTTTGTCATGAGCTCCACAGTGAAACGTGCGGGGAAAATAAATGCATACAGATAAACGCTTTGGTAAGGAGTAGTTGATTTATAAGACAAACAAATGTTATGAGGTATATTATTAGTTTTCTTTTTTTTTTTTTGCCAGGCTGCCAGCTGTAGATTTGTCTGGCGTATCTGCATAATTTACATATTTTAAGCTTTGCTGCCATCTTAAACAGCTGAAGTGTTTGGAATGAATAATGCCTCTTCAAATTTCAGTCAGACTGAAGCTCACAAAATGCATGACGAACCACCAAAATTGAGCTTGTACAGCACAAATGTACCCGAGGGAGTAGCACCCCTCTAGTTATCTACATTTTCTAAGCCACTGGTTGAGATACAATGCTACAGCCCATTAGAAAATTTGAGGATGTGTGTGGACTCCTAAAGAAACAGACCATTTTGAGCTCGACTCGCTGTCAGATCCTCCCCACAGCACTTTCATCTACCCACTTGCTCCCACCCGGAGCATTGCATGACAACTTTGGCTGCAGCAATACTGGCAGGAACCTGCAGCCCCTGGAGGAGTCATGCGATTATGCATCCCTGTAGCCATGATATTTTGAATTACACAAAGAAGACTAAAGGCTGCTTTGGTCATACTGCCTTTTATGTAAGAGAAGCTCCAGAAAAATCAACCTATTGACACTGTCTGCACATGAGTAGACAACAATGAACAAAATAGGTTAGCAGCTTTTTTCTTTTTTTTTTTTAGCTGGCAAATAAGATCAACACTGAAATAGCTTCATTTGTGGGGAAGATATTGGGCTTTAAAAGAGACCTGACAATAAGACAGCTGAAATATTTTCACAGTAGTCAGAAAGCAGGTACTTGAAATTACACGGATTGGAAATGGGAGTGTTCACGTGTAGGTGTATTTAGGCTTAGGTGAGGCCGCATGGTTCATATCACAGCAAAGACATTCAGAGCTTTAACTATAAGGCGTAGTCCACTGTGCAAACATTTATCCATCACGATGTCCTCGCCACACCAAGGTGGTACTATCCTCATATGCGGAGCAAAATACAAACCAAACGGTTTGCGTTCGGGGATGGCTTCAGGAACGATCCAATATTAGGCAATACATCATCCATTACTCACATGACAGCATTTCAAGGAACATTAAAGCTGCAGCGGAGCGAAGATTAAAGCACATTCCATATTTACTTCCTGACGTTTAAATTTAGCTCCTGTAGGTTTGGTACTTTGCCTTTACAACGACGTACAATATCTCGTTTGTTATTTTTCTCCCCCCCCCGTATGTGTTGATGGTACATATTGCAGGCCTCTCTTCCAACAATAGGAAGAGGAAGAAAAAAAAACTATTTGGCAATAATAATTGCAGCTCCTACAGTCACAAAGAATGTGACAATTAACTGGGAAAATGAGTTCAGAATGCCTGTTTGAGCTACAAAATACAAATGAGCTTTATTGTATTTAAGGAGAACCAGAAAATCCCCACAAAATCACTCTGACACAGTCATTGTGTTGGTAAAGTCGGCCTCTATTCAGTCGAGGGAATCAGTGAAGCAGCCATAACATTTGTCTCTTGACACTATAACGACAGTTTTGGGTCTCTGGGTTCTTTATGTGAGAGAATTATTCACTGTCTTCAAACACAACTGTACAGCTAAAGATGTGCAATGTAAATGCGCTGTATTGTGCAGCGTAAATTCTGATTACAGGGAGACAGGGATACTGCTATTGTGGCAATCAGCTGCAATATCAAACGCCACAATGTCTCGTTTTATATGTGAAAGTCAATGCCATATCTCCTGGCACACACACACACACAGTTCATTACTTGTGGTTTGAAGCAAAAGACAGGAATCACCAGTAAAAGCACACAACAGAAACACTAGTGTCTAATGTGGAAACGCCAATAAAGACAAAGAGATGATGTGGTGCGAGGAAAAAGCATAAAGATCTCAGATAATGTCTCAGCTGAGTTGCTATTAGGTTCATGTTCTTATCTCTGTTTTTCCTTTTTTTTTCCTTTTCTTTCTTTTCCATGATTTCCCCCATAAAGCCAACTACAGATCCAGAGTGGGTGACAAATCAACTGAAGTCACAAAAGCACGATAGAGAGCATAGTTCTGACTGGGAGACTTCTTTTCTCTTATCACCACAGTGTATAGTACATCACAGTCAAGTTATTAGATCCAACATTTCTTACACACACCTATTTAATAACAGGCAAGAATATATATATATATATATATATATATATATATATATATAAACAAATCCCAGACATACATATTCTGTAGCCATATAACCAAATTGCAATATACTACTTGGAATCCCCTATCTGTGAGAACGACAAACACAGAGCAGGAGAGACAGTGTGGGTGTTTGTGCGTGTGCATGCATGTATATCTGTGTGTGTGTGTGTGTGTGTGTGCGTCCGAGCGTGTGTGCATCTTGTTCATGGCAAGAAATCAGCTCAGTTTAGCACATAATGGAAATGCGAATAGCCCAGAGCGCCTCTCTCCCACACAGGGAGAGAACTGGCTGGGAGCTGGCTGCATCTTTCCAAATCCAAACAGTGAAAGGGAGTTAGCTAGGTTAAAATCCTGCCCCCTTTTTCTCTCCCTCCCCGGAGCAATTCACAGCTCTGCCCATACATTACTCAAACAGGTCATCCAAACAGGTCTCACTAACAGTCTGAAAAACATATTCGCACACATATGCGCACACATGCTACGCACATGGCTAAGTATGCTCACTCACACACACACACACTTGTAGGTTCAGTGGAAAGGTGACGTTGCACATATTATGACAGATGACATCTTCTATATGTATCCCCGTAGCACAACAGCCCCGAAATGTTATGCTTAATTTAACACAAGCTCTACCTTTTTCAGATGCAACATTAACACGTTTTCACATTTTCATCTACTCCACAAAAAGGTTACCAACCCCAATACACGCTGCATAACAATTTTTCTGTCATGCAACGCTGAGGTTTCCCTGACCATGGTATTACCTTTGTGCCCAGAGGGATACGATGAAAAGTCAGACTTACATGCTACTTCTAGAGATGCGTTCCGGCTTACGGCCTCTCCCAGATAGTTTCGGGCCACGCACACGTAGCTGCCATCATCCGGTTTGCTCCGCCGTCCGTGGACGATGCGTAGGAAGAAGAGGGAGCCACTGGGCAGCAGCATACGGTGGGAGCGGGGGTTGTCACGGTCCGTCTCCACGCGCTCCCCATCTTTGTACCATTCCACCGAGGGGGTTGGACGGCCTTCTGCTTTACAGTTGAGAGTGGCTGGTTCCCCTTTAGACACAATGAGGTCAGAGGGGTGCTCCACGATGCGGGGAGGGGAGTCTTCCTGGCGAAGACGAGACCCTAAAGGGGAACCAAAAAAAAAAAGAAAGTCAAAACTGCTCTTGAAGTAATAATCATAATGTTTAAATGCACATAAATAATGCATCTCAATATTAGCGGATTTGCTGAAGCAGCACTACGTTGGTGAAAAATGCAAGTAACTGTTTATGAGCAGCAAAGGCAAGTAGGACTGAACGCCCACTGGAAGCTTAAACTTAGTCAACAGACATTCAGAGTGCAAAAGTGCAGCGACAGAAACAAACATAATAAATAAATGAAAGGGAACTGTTAACTATCATGTCACTGCTGATGAGAAAACAAGCGAGCAGACAGCAATATTGAGACACATCTCACTGGCAATATGCTTTCACTGCCTTTGAAACAGTGAAGCATAGATCTGCTAAAGATGTGTGACTATGACTCACAGAATGAAACGTATAGTATAATTTCATTGCAGGCCTTGAAAGGAAACTTGATTAATATCAGTTTTTTTTTTAACTAGCTGCATTATATTCTGTGTTACTACACTGAAGCTTCCATGTTTACTTTGGCTGACAGGAGCTGAAGACTCATTATATCTCATTAGCTTTTTCATTAACACGTTCCATCAAACACTGACATCATCAAACATGTTGTCTCAGTGGGTGTCGAACAGCGACTGCTCCAGTGGATTTTTTTCACTTTACACTTTAATACTGAGGATAAACAAAGTTTGGAAATCTCCTTCCTCCTTAAAGGCTACATCACTGCATTAGCATGCGTAATGTTTCCATCTTAACCCAAGTATTTGATAGTCAGTCTTGAGCAAATGTCACGAGGACGCCTAATCCCGACGACCGTGATAAGAATAATGTCATAATTTGTGTAACCACAACCCAGATAGCAAGCTGTACCCTGCTTATTCTTTCCCATTTATTTGGCCATGTGAACACCTTAGCTCAACTCAGCGCTGTTTCATAAATTCCACCTCTAAATGTCACAGAGGAATGACCCAAATGTAGTGGCACTGTGTTTGTTTACAGACGTGACAGCTTCACAACTCTCATCTGCTTCATGGTGGATGAGCACATTATAATAACTGTGTTAAAAGGTCTACCTTTTCTGTTGCGCGCATGCAAACAAGCCACGAGTGTGATGTTAGAGTTGCCAAAACAGACTTTTTGGACTGTCAAGAGGCGAAGGAATAAATAAGATATAAATAAATGAAAATGATGTTACACGGTCGCTTGTCTTTCTGCCTTTGATGGTGACAAATCATACAAATTGCAAAGGCAGCCATGATGACTGGCTGCTACACAGCAACCCGAAATAAAGTCGCAAATGTGAGCAAAACTGACGTGACAGTTTATAATGTAAGAGGTTTGTTGACAAAAAGCATTCCATTAGCTGGCACCGACATGCCGAACGTGGTGATACATTGTGTTTTAAAAATGCTTTTAAAACCCCCTATACATACGTCTCTTGAGTAATAACATTTGTGTGGTTCCATAATGACAAACAAACAAACCCACAGTTTGTGGACTACTGACTTCTTCTAATTGGCTGTCCCATTACCCACAGTCTCCACAGCAGCTAATATAGAGTTCGAGACTTGTACTGTCAGACAACAGAATTTAAATTAGCTGATTTTTTTTGTTGCGGTTGGCACATTGGTTCAGCGGTTGGTACTCTAATCTAACAGCAAGAAGGTCCTGTGGGGTCCTGTCAGTCTGCTGGCGCTGTGATGGACTGGCATCCCATCCAGGGGGGTTGCCTGTTTTCTGCTCAATGCATGCTCCATGCACCCCATGACCCTGAATGTAAATGAGTGTGAACAGAAGGAATTCATTTGGATTTTTTTTTTGTCATTGTAACTCCTTAATTTAAATTTGCACATTTTACCAGCTGAATAGTCCAGTTCTGACAACTCAATGGGTTGCAAAGTCAATACAAATTTGGATGGACTCTTAAAGTGACGTTTTTTTTGATACACTTAGATACAATTAAAATATTTATGTGGCCAAAAATGTGGCTTATCTAGTGGAGGGCTGCCTCAGACTGTTAAGCATCAATCTTTGCGTCTTAATATTCTCCACGAGTGTGCCTGTTTATGGGGATCTGTCCGTGGTGCTGAAGCAGAAACTCAAGGTCCTGCGAAAGAAAACTGGCCATTTAAAGGCTTGTAAGCTGAGGGCGACTCTGATAAAAGTCAATTTAGGGTGACAACTCTCAATCAGCGGAGTTCAGGGGAACTCAATTCAGGCTCGTAACTGGAAGATTCAGTTGACTGTCAAGAAAAGGGCACTTGCCATTCACGGATTTCGCAGGTATACGCTTGAGATGTCAAAATTGCAAAAATTAGTCCGATCGCGGCAAAACTGAAAGCAGGAAGATGAGCACCTTTTTTTTCTATGCATCAAAAATAATAGCGTGCTCACGCTGCAAACTCTCATCATTATGCTCTCTAATAGATCACAGATTGCCTGCATTTTTGCCACAGGCAGTCAGTCAGAGAAGAGCAATTAGGGATTACTTGTGTCTCCTTCACACAGATGTTTCACTGAATTCTGACAGTGAAATGGAACAGGCTGAAATGCACGCCGAGTGACTGGTCCATTACATGCAGCTTCGGAATCTGATATTGACCAGTGCAGCAGCCCTGTAATTAGAGCTGTGTTTGTTAAGCTTTAAATATTCCCTATGTGTTGACACTGTCAACAAATGTATGGGGAAGGCGGTGGGCCGATCATTGGAAAACCTGTCAGTGGCGGTTCAATACAAGCTGCTGCCTCCAAAATGACTTCAGAGTTCAATCAGCAGCCCCCCCTCTGACATAATGTCAACAAAAACATGAGCCCTATGAGCTTCATGAAGATGTGATAAAGGCAAAATCATTAACTGTGCTTTGCTAGGAATGCACTGACACCAAACAAAATAGTAACTCAGCAGTTCCAGTGTCAAGGAAACACCCAGATCCACACCCACCGTATGTGCTGTGTAGTGCTTACACCTGCACTGCATTTACTCCACTGACACAGATTCATTTTTTTTCTTTTTTTATGGGCAGCAAGGGGAAAAAAAAGTAGTACAAAACACTTCACAATAACGTCAACACCTCCTGCTCAGAATCTTAGGTGTTGTTGACGTACACTTAGCTATATGTGTAACCTATAGACGCAAACAATCAAAAGAAATGCCACCTTCCTACTTCTTTTCTGAAACACACAAGCTTCATTAAGTTACCAAAGCAACCTGAACAGTAGGCCAAACTGTATATGACCCCCAGATAACAAGAATTAAAGCAAATTATGAGCACAGGCTGAAAAATAAGATTCTTGCAACACTTTTCTGTTAAGAAGACAAACAGATTGTGAGATTTGGGGTCCAATTGATAAATAAATAATGTCCTATTCCTTTTAGACAATACAGAAAAAAAAAATCAATTTGGCTGCCTTTTTTTTTTTTTATTGCCAGCAGACATTTCAACACTACCTCCAGAAAAAAAACACTCTATATTTAAAAGCTCTCAAGGGTTTAATTCTACTAAGAAATGTGTTCACTTAGGGCAGCCTTTATAAATAAATGAGCAACTTTCGTCTACCAGAGCCGTTCAGTAGTTGGCACAGAACAATAGCCTGTCTTACATCAGGACTAAATTAAACCAACTAGTCCACGGTGCATCCGAAGAATTCAGGAGAAACAAAACGCACTGTAAACGCAGGAGTCGGTATCTTCTTGGTGCACTTGGAGCTTGGCAAGACTGTGGGTCGAATACGCTTCAGGTCACATCCCAACGTGTTCCCAGCAGCTTCATGTGCACCGAGACAGGATTAAAAGCACAATAGGAAATGTATTCATAAACTTACCATCGGTTTGGGTGTACAGAAGTCCACTGAGAAATAAATACTGTAGAGGACCCATTCTGGCATATTGGCCTCGTAAGCTATCGGCGCATGAATTCCTCCTCAAGCAGAAAAAAAAAAGCAATCAATTCAATCGATCGATCCACTTGAGCGACTTTGTGACAATTTTACTGTTTCAAGTTTAGTGAACTAAAAAAAAAAAAACAACCGAGACAGCTATTTCAGCCCGCTGAAGAGAAACCGTTCCTCATTCACATGTCCGTTCTTCCTCTCCAAGAGCGCACCAGCGGCTAAGCTGTGGACACGTTGGCAATTTCTGCAGTCACCAATTGCAAACATCACCGACGCCCAAAGACGCTCCAGTTACTGACGGTTCTCCCGTCCGACCGCATTGTTCTGACACTTTACCGGGTCCGACGGTGGCCGAACGCATCCATCCTGACGCGGGACGAAGTTGAGGGATGAAAGGTGGAGATGGGGATTCAGTCAGAGGTGAGTCGCTGCGCGGTGCAGCATGGCTCAGCCCCTCCTCTCCGCTGCTCTGCCCTGGGAGAGACGAATGGAACATGCACAATAAATCCTGAACACTAAAACTCAGGAGCACTTTAGATTCTGGACAATTGGATGGTGATAAAGAGACTCATCGGTGTTTGTTTTCCTTTTTTTTTTTCTCCCTTCCTTCCTTCCCTGGGAGACAGTTTAACGCAGACTGCTGATATAGTCACTAGGCACAATCTTTGCAGCGTGATCAATATGTATGGAAATGAAAGTCTGCTGCTTTGGCCATTTCTTCTTCTGTTTTCTTTCATTTAGTTTTAAGTCTTCCTGATTAGGATTAGTTTCAGTAGATGTGCGTAATTATCATTTAATTGCAGTTCCTTTTCAAATCTTCCCTTTCCTTTCATTCCCCTTACAGTGTTTTTTTTCCAATCTGTCCCTAACATTTTATTAAAATGCAGCATCAGGATGCAAAACCTGCCATGTTTACCTTCACACATTTAATAAATCAGGAGCAATCCAATAAAGGAACATTTATATTCCCCAGAACAACGCTCAGGCATGCAACGTTGCATCCAAACATGCATCCTCTATCGTGCAGATCTCACAAAGCTGATGGATTCCTTTTGTATTATTCCTCCTATTAGCCTTAACCCTTTAAATTCTATGGACAGCTCTTCCTCATCCTGTCAAAAACACAATGGGGCTGAGTAAAATAATTTAAACAAAGCCCTCCAGTTTTACTAGCTGCCATTTTATTTTCATGTTCACGGTTGAAAAGGCTATTACAAAGGTGCACAGCTGTAAAGAAATGGCACTTCATTCCTTCCCACCCGCCCGAGGTGCTTATCCTACGCTGTCGTCAATACTGCTCAATATTGTCGATAGCATTATAAATGCAGCGCCTCACCGTGAGATGAGAGCGAGATAGGCTGTATCAGGTGCTATTGATCCAGACAGGGAAATTAAACCATTTTTGGCACTGTGTTCACAGCAGTAGATCGAATAATAATTGTGGACAATGGCTAAATTCGGTCAGTATGAAGTGGGGGGTAAAATGAACACTCATTTAAATTGGATGGATCTCATCCATCAGATGATGATGTCTTCAATAGAATTGTTCTGCCGGGTTTCTTTCCTGTGGCAGCAGCTCTGCTCGTGCTGTTGGAGAGACTTCTTTACACTCGGTATGTTTATGCTTTAATGTTACAAACCTTTAACAAAGCCGGTGCACCAACAGTTAAGTGACATTTGGGAGATAAACAGCACTATATTTCCATTCCTGTGAACCCTCAGCGGACTGGTAGATTTAAGTAGCTTGACATCAAATGGCTGTTTTTCAGATTTTATGCGGAGCGTGACCTTACCCCAAGTCGTGTCTTTCAGAAGTGCAATGAAGAGATAATAAATAGGCTTTTCAAGAAATTAATAACCTCACAAAATCCATCAAGGTGAACTTTAATGACGGGAGAAGGAATCTACAAGAGCACGGCTTGGGCTAATGGTGCTAATGACTTGATGCTCGGTAATGCTGCTATTCATCATTAACACTTAGATTAGAAAAGAAAAATGGCATCAATTCTATACATCTTCCAACAGAAAACAGGGGCACGTATGCAAACCCAGTCTATCATCTGTGTTGTGTTATGCTCCTGAGGAAACATTCAAAGTGCCAAATATGATTTAAATAAAAAGTTAAAGCTGCATTCGGCACAAATCAGGAAAAGGCAGCTCCTCCCGCTCCATCCTAAGCCATATCCATAAAGACGGTCAAGCTAAAAGTCAGTCAACATTCATTTGTGGCTTCACCTGGGATTTACACCCAAGTGAAAGGCCTCCACATAACCCATTGCACCACCACATCCTGCTCTTTCTGCAGACTTTGCTACTATTTATCTTATCTCGTGGTGAAAAGCCCGGGGATTTGCAAAAATCTCCCATCACAGGCTAGATTCTCTTAAGTCGAAGCCAGGTGTGGAGGTGTAGCAGTCTGGTTTCATCTCAGATCGCTTGAATTACAGTTAGAATGGCATTTGTGTCTGATGATGTCAAAAAACACGGCCTAGGTTAAGCTTTAAGTAAACGAAATATGGGACACCGACATCGTAGGAGAACATACACGGCTAGGATTTAGCAAATCAAAGTGGTAGCTTAAAAATTATACTCAGAATAGATAAAGAATTCAGTTATACAATGCTATTAAGCACACCATCTGTAAGTCTATCTGAGAGGAGCATCTTCATTGGAGATTTGAAATAGCATTTACATAAAGAAACGCATGCGAAAAGGGCATGAGGCATAGGTAATTGTGTAATGGCATTTGGTGTCTAGCATAAGGTCAAAAAAGAAAATACATTTATCGAGTGAGGTGATTTGATGTTTATCTTTGAAGTTGAATAAGAGGCAGAGAGAGACCCCCATCTTTCATCGCACGCTGAGATAGACGGGTATCCAGGCAACGTGAGGATTCTGCTGCCTTCCTCGCACAAACCAAAATCAAAAGGACTACTGACTCTCATCAATCTACCCTCCCTTCTCTGTGTTGATCACACGTAGGAGACAGTGTCAAGGTCAGAAGTTTTGTCCGCACCATTACCTACTCATAGGCGTGTTTGTCCAAGCCAGGAGTGTTGGGGGGTAACAGATGGTGTGTGTGACAGTGTGTTCAACACCAGGCATGCTCAGCCTGACTGAGAGTAGACAGTGTAGACATGTGTCCTGACCACAAAGTCCAAACCTGCATACAAGTGCCAAACCTCTGTCTAACAGCTTAAGGTGCTCAGTTCAGTGGCGACGTCTCGAAATGCAAACCAGTCATCTGAGTGTTTTTCGCGCACGGTTTGCTTCCGAGCAAAACAAAGAGGCTGCTGTTTGTTAGGTGTGCCTGTGTTTAGTTAAGCAACAGATTAATAGCCAATTATCCATGTTATGACATTAAGTGTAATCTAATTAAATAAGCATGCATTTTACAAGAATGCAGATCTTTCTCTTTGCCATTAAGAAAAGGACCATTTCTTTTAACAATGTTTTAACTGTTTTATTTCTTGCATCTCAGTTAAACGTCCTGTTTCAGCACAGAAAGCCGTCAAATGCAGAGGAAACACGCTGTCAGCCAAAAGCTTCACAATACTTTCCACAAAAAAAAAAACATTAAAACCAAATATGTGAAAGATTTATACTACTAGCATTTCTACTGATGAGCAACAACCCGGACTACTGGTGTCAGGTCATTATTTTGTAATGTGAGTTTGTCTCTCAGATTGCTACAGAAGATAGATGAAGTTATAGTGCTTTGTATTATCCGTTGTATCATATATATAGTAATTTATTGCTCTGTATGATCCATCAATAGCAGCGACTCGGATGGTTGTGGTTACTTTCTGCCTCCCTCATCTCCCTCCATTGTTCCAATTGGCTGAGTTCCATAAGTTATTAGGATCATGTGTGGGCGTGTTCTCATTGATGTCAGAAGAACGTGATCTGAGCTTCCACACAAATGCAGCATGAGGGTTTGATGAAAGAGAGACAGTGGAAGCTGACTGCAGAAGTTGTGAAGGGTCTCGCTGCCTGTTCAAGGAACAAATCCCTTTGGGGGATCTCTGCTTGAACACTGCCAACACAACACACTGGAGTAGACTTAGAACCAAACCCTGTGAACTCGTGGTCAAACGGTTAACTATTGCACTTGGACCGCATCACTATAACGGCTTACAGAGGAAACAAAAAGCAGCACAAGCTAGCTCATTGTATTCCTGTGGCAGGTCACCTGGTGTAAGAGGTCTAAAAAGCATGTAGGAGGTTGTTTACCATCACATGTCAACTGCCTCGTTGATAAACATAAAAACTGTGCAACATGTGACATTTTTAGCTTCATCTATTGAATTCATCAAGGATGTAGACAGTGATTGCATTTTCAATACAGAGCAGGTCTAAGCACATAGTCTGCAGAATCTGTTTACATACAGCTCAGAACAGGCTGTCATCTACCACATGTGTGGCGAGATCACCGTTTGCCACCCCACCTGTTTTAGGCCAAAGGGTATTGCCCCCTCACTGAGAAATGTTGCCCTATGTATCTCCGAGTTGACAAAGGGAGGCAGTACGCTTTGGAAGAAGGACCACAGGAATAACTGCCTCTACTCTACATGTTCTCCTGTTGCTGTGCTTTTCTGTAACAAAACTGTACTTTAAGTCTCCGAGTGTAACACAGCCCTTGAGACACTTTTGAAGGACTCTTAAAATCAAAGCTAAACATCACAAGATGTCTCTCCTCAAGAGACAGAGTTTTCTTTCCTGAAGACGAGTGGTGTTGTCAATGCATTACTATCACTTTATTCTCAGGCAGTGGACACATTGCTTCCTCTGTAAAGCTTCACGCTCCACAAAACACCATTGAACTCCTGACACACCTTGCTAGAGTGGAGAGAGAAGGGCCCAATCCTACCAACTCCATTTAAATGCTTTCAAGGTGAAAAAGGCCCCATTCAGCTTCTGAAAGAGGTACTTTGGGGGACACTAGTGAGATCTCTCTCTAGCGATAGATGTGGAGGAGAAAGAAAA